GATTTGGGACGCAAATAGTATAGTGTAAACGACTAGCGTGCTTTACCGGATTAGATCAGAATCGCTTAGGCGGTTACAGCGTCAATAAAGAAGAAGAGGTGCTGAATAAGAAGGAACTGGAATATGTCCATCGGCTAGCTTTCATGCTGATAATGATGGCCATCAAAGTGCTTAGCATGCTACTAAATTTTCTTCCGGTAGACTGTATATGTAGGTCATTCAAAAGACAGATCTTACAGAATTTCCCAATCCTCACTATCAACGATTCCTTCGTGAGAGGAATGGACAACTCACACGATCAGGAAAAGCGGATCATCAGTTCATGTATACATGATTAGGTAAAATTCTGATAGAAACATTGGAGGCTTAAGACAATTAGGTATATCTCTCAGCTGCTACTTGTCTGATTATTACAATGAACTTTAAGCGGAATTGATGCCTATCTTAATGCGCCTATAACAAGAGGTTATACAATCACCAAGGAAACTGTCGCTGACTTCAAGGGTAAATTGTTGTTGAATGCCACAGCAACATAAGGGAAGACTGTTGGGCTGACGAACTTACGCACCTTGACACGATATTTCTAGATACTTATAGCATTGATATAGCTGCCAGTCCTCAGAAAACTTGTCAAGTTGTCGGAGTACTTTGGCCCTACATGAATGGTCAAAGGACTGAGTTTTTTCTTAACCTAAGGAGGCAGCAAATCTGCATAACTATAGCGCTTTACATTGGACACTGTACGATAGGACTACATGCAGCTCGACTAGGCACCCTGCGAACGACAGTAAAAGTTGCCTGGATGAGGAAGAAAAGCAGACCATTCAATACCTTCTTTCTCACTGCCCTAAATGCGCTTAGCCTGAGCATATCTTCAACCACGGCAATAAATATTATTAAGAACACAATTATAACAATAATAAACTTATGTATATACATATTTATATAGAAGCATAATTAGATTAATGGAAGAAAATCTCGCTCAAACGGAGCTGGAGATGCCTTAATGCAATGACAATTGAGAACAAAATAGAGAATTACTTCCAGTCCACATAGGAAAAACTATCCGAAAAAAACTCAGATTAATGTGTATTTATTTATATGTACTCATTAATGCGTTTGTGCATTTGTCATTATGTAACGATAATTTACTGCAAATCTAAAACAACAGCAACTTTGCCGACTTCGCATTGCCGCCACCGAAATGGGGGAGGTTTTATACCAGAGCATGACAAGCCCAGTAGCAGTGTAGAATGTCGTCACAGATTAGTAGCAGCAACACCTACGACATAATCACAGCGATCCTATTAAGAAGCACACATAAAAGGGGGGGGGAGATGATGCAGCGCAATTGGAAATCAAAGAGGCAATGGGTGGAAGTGATGCTAGGCGGAAAGTTATTGACAGTTTAGGGATGTACTTGCAAAAACTATGTAATTTGTGTGTGTGTGTATCCCCTGACACTATTCGTTGTTTTTGGTTTTACTGTTCCCGAGTGCAACGAGGTTTTGACAGGGGTGGGAAGCTGCACACAGTACACACATGCGTACAACTGAAGTGGCAAGTTAATAATAACGTCGCGTGTGCCACCATCGGTTTGACTCTGCGTATTTATGGAGTGGAGTGACACGCTGTCTAGCTCATGATGCATCAAATTTCATGCATTGCCTGGAATAAATGTGCCTTCGCGTTAACTCAAAAATACTACAGTTTTTTTTTTACCGAATGAAATCATTTTTCTGGTGGCCTACACATTTCGTAACAATGCAGCTCGTGCTTCTGAATTGTGCTCTTCCCATTTCCCATGAAAGTCTTCGTACAACAAGCTTTTTTCGAAGCGTATTTGAGCTGAATGCAAAGCATTTTTTTATTTTCAATTTTCGTTTTGGGTTTTCAGCTTCATGACTCTCAAGGCGCATCTATGGATGATGACTCTGATGCGAACAAAAGATCAAAATATTTAAACGAAAATCTATTTTCCGGGAAAACAATTGTGCTCCGCTTCGTTCAGTGTCAACACCAGCAGCTTCGATCCACTCTACCTTGCTTCGCTCAGCGCCACTCGGTATTCTGTGTGAATGCAAGCTTAGGCTCGCAAAGGCAGGGCACCAGAGCAACAGGTGCTAAGCCTAACGGCTGCTTATATGTCGGAATAGATATTCACCTCCTTAAAAGGTGACACACTGTGGAGCAGCCAATCCGAAGCCTCCTTTATTGAAGTCACTTCCACCAACTTTCCCACTCAGTTTCGCTTCTTCCGTAAAAAAACACTCACCGGGTCCGGTTTCAGATGCTGCGTTCCTCCCATTCCCCTCTCGTTGAAATATGGGTGGTGAAAGATTCATTCGGACCCAGAACCGGCATTCAGTAGTCTGTCCGAGTCGGTATTAACTCCAAGATTTTTTAATTTCTGCAGTGCACATAGCTCGAGTCGAACCTAGAGCCCACCCCAATGCGACGCGCGCAGCAGATCTATGCGCACAACATTTAGCATAGCATTAAGCGCGTTAGTAGTGTTTTGAAGTGGCCAACAGATCCCAATTAAGGCCGCTCTTTTCACTCTTTCCAGCTGCTTGGCGACGAAGGCCTTGTCTCGTACGTTCCACCAGATGAGTAGATCATATAGTAAAATTGTCCTAATTTCGGTTTCTAATGTAAGCTAATGTACCACCTACGGCGAGAGACCCCAGCGCATACCAATGGCTCCTCATTCAGTGTGGACAATTTACACTGGGTTGGATGCGTGTAAATTACTGCCGGCGAACAACTTGAGAATTCCATTTCTGTTGTTCAGCTGGTGGCTGAGCACAAGTTGAGTCTATCGAACTTGCTGTGAAGTATTTTTGGTTGATTGAAGATAAGCTTTTTTGTGTCTTGATTTCGGCAGGGTAAAAGCAGACTATTTTGTTTGGATGTTTTGTCTTTGAATACTACCTATAAATGGCTGTCGTACAAAAAACGTGCTATTTCGACGGGTCCACACCGATGGGAGGAGGTTGAATGGGCATATAAGGTGGTGCTTGTTGTCAAGTGGGAAATCTTCAGATGACGATAACACGTCCGATTCTAGTCTGGATAGGTAAGCGTTTAACCAGCTACAGTATGCAGACCGTAACTGTGCCAAAGTAACGCGGGTCTGCCTTGGCAGCTGAAGATGTCTCTTGATTGCCAATTTATAGTGCCGGGTCCAGTGGTTGACATGCGTAGCTTTACACCCCATCCTTCAGTTCGCAGAGGTGCCTTCTGATACGAAAGTCATACATAGGTCGAGGTTTCGCTTTAAGCAAGTGCCTGTTCGGGTTCTCACGTCTGTAGCTGCCGACAAGGGACTGCGAGCATTTGGGCGTAACAGTGTAGCTGTCCACAGTGCTGTATTGTGGCAAACTTGAAGCTTGTACACGCCGTCAACGTGAATTCTCAGCTGTATGTCGTCTTTCTGACGTCTTTCGACCAAGTGGTAAAAAATTCTTCCCGAGGATTTCATAGACGAGAGGGTTAGGCTACTTTCAGTGGGGAAGCGAGAAAGCTCGACGAAATAACGAGCAAGTTTTGATCAGAGACCCCAGACGGAAATGTCGAATAATAGTCAGCGTTTGAGATAATGGAAACTCCCTCTGGTGGTTGGGGAAACTTCGAGATAAAAATTAAACAGAACTTGCATTAAATTCGCACATATTTATGCTCGCTAAGTTTACTTTTATTTATTTATTTGGATTAGTAGTTAACCAATAATTTATTACTTCAAAATTAATGTCTTTTAATTGGTTAATTCAAATGTCGGAAACTAGAATCTTAAGCTCTACAGCTTGGAATGGTTTTAAAACAAAAAAAGTAATGTTTAAATGGAGCAATTTAATTTTTTTTATTGTAATAATAATAGTAATAAGAATAGTAATAAGAATAATAGTAATAATATATACAAACTAATAATAATAAAAATAACGATTTCCAAACAAATTTTCCCATGTTTTATGATGGATTCAAAACAGTTTCGGAATTTTAAGCACATGTATGTACATATGTATGTATGCATAGTACATACATATGTATATTCAATCCATATACATAAATGTTTTACTTCACTATACTATCTAACTTATAAAAATGTAATTAATTTTCACTCATATAGATAATCCAGTACATATACTTATATTTATGTGAGTATTAGCTATAGCAAAGCAAGGGTTTGCTTAAAAACAATTTTTATTTAGTTATTTTCTGTAAAGTTAAGAAATAACTATCGTCAAAAACAAAATTTGTAACTCAATATATATTAGTCCTTTTTTGGTTGGTTATTTTTCTTTTATATAATTTCCATTATTTTTCTTTTAAAATACAATTCATTCATTTCACAAAAACGCAAGTTTCAAGCTTTGCAGGAAATTAAAAAAAAAAATTCATCAAAATTTCAAACTTTTTTCTCGGAAGCTGTAAATTTTTTGGAGTGTGCAGTTTTTTAACACATTCAATTTTTATATAAAAATGTGCAAGTTTGAAGTAGCCAGAAATTACCGCAAATTTTTTTAAATTCTTTTACTTACGCTCTTCCGTATTTTTTCATATACGCATGCTCACATTTTTTTTATGATATTTTTATGAAAATTCTATACATATTTTTAAATCTTCTACAAAGTTTGAAACTTGCATTTATATGGATTTTGTTAGAGAATGAACTGCCTTTTAACTGAAAAATAATGGAAACTAATAAAAGAAAAATAACTCAAAAAAACGAAAAATCATTGTCCCTATTCAAGCGCACTGGGGTGTATGTATGCTAATTGCGAAGAAAAAGTGAGGTTATCATTAAATGCAGTAAAAGTGCATCCCTACACAACATAAACTTAACTCAAAACAATTCAGTACGTTATGGCAGTTGCATCTACGCAAAAAAAATGTATGAATTCAACGAAACATAGCACATGAGGTTTTTGTTATGTAAAACTTGTTAGTTGATATTTATAAAAGTATTGGTAAGTATTTTCTCTCAATTTTTATTTGTTAAAAAACACCACTCTTTCACTGTTCACAATTCAACACTGCAAGATTCCCCTTGACTCGAAAAACTAAAAAAAAAACAACTCGATACTTGAACATACCAATTTCGATGGAACGATCAAAGTCTCGATATTTTCAAGATTTTTCACAAATTACAGGAATGACCCTTATTTTGTCAAAGTAACGTTCTATACGTTTATATGCAAATGCTGATATGACCTATGACTTGTACACCTTAAAATAGCTAGTAATCGTGTGCATAGTAGTTAATTTTAATTTAAAATATAACTTACAAAAATAAAGAAACAGAACTAGTTCTAATAATAGTAACAATAACGCGAAAACACAGAATTTATAACAAAAATGTATATAAAAAATTCAGAAATTTAATCAAACATAAGCTTAAACAAAAACTTAACCAAATTAAGTAACTCATCTCTATAGAGCACATATTATTTTCAAATTAAACAGAAATAAATTTATGGAACCTTTAGCTATGCATAAATACATATATCAACATATATATCGTTACCTTAATATAGACAACCCCAACTAATTTTCTTTCGAAATTCAGCTTCGTACATAAGTCGGCTAATAGACTTTGAAAGCAACTACACCATTTAATAAGTTTCAGTATTTATAAAAAACCAGTGTTAGAAGAAATTCACAACGGACGACTTTTGTACTTCATAAGTACTCCGTAAAGAAATAAATTATTAGATAGGGCCTTTCTATATGTATTAAGGTAACGATATGTAGGTATATATAGTATATCTTCCTCTCTCCAACGCTAAACCCCACCAAATCCCTCTTCAACTCACACCCGCGCCACCTATCTTCCCCTCCATTATGCGCGCGCCTACAAATTAATCTGTAAATCTAATTTTCTAATAATATCCTTTGCCTTGTTAAGGCTCGCCGGTCCGTGTGTGTTGGTTGTAGCCATCTTATACAAGTCGCCCATATATTTCTCGATATTATCCATAGTTGCGCCATTCGGCTGCGTTGGTAAGGCCAAACTGGACAGCGCTTGCGCCAACTTCGATTTCAACTTTTCCAAGTACAATTCAAGTAAATGATTCTTCTCCGCTAGCTCGTCATTTTCGTTAGTCAACTTCTCTACTCCGAATTTCATATTCTCCACATGTTTCTCCAACACAGCATTCTGTGTGTCTAAATCTGATTTGGATTTGCGTAGCGTACGCAATTCCATATCGAAAATTTTATTATGCTCTAGAAATTCATTGGTGAAAATTGGTATTTCGCCAGGTACGACTGTGGCGGATAAGAGAGTTGATGCGGTATTATCAATTGTTTCTGTTGTTGGTTTGCTGTTGTGATTGTTGCCGGAAGTGGCATTGTTTGGGGTGCTTGTGTAAGCGATGGCGTTTCTGTTGTTATTGCTACTTTGTGCGCGAGGAGGTGTTGGTGTACGCTTACGTCGATGTTTGTTGTCTGTTGCTGTTGCTGTTGCAGCCGGCGGTGGCGAGTTATCCTTTTCGGAATTGCGGCGCGATTTATCCTTGCTGGCGGCGTTTGTGCTGACGTGCGGCTCTTTATTCGGTGATTTGATATTGCCAGATGATTGCGATTTCTCCTTCAATACGGGTTTTCCAGCTTCCCCAGGACCTTTGTTCTTTTGCTGCTTACTCTTCGCCAGCTCACAGGCCAACACATCAGGACGTTCTTTAAGGAATGTGTGCAATTCATCGAGATAGCTGAAAGTAAGACCAGTACATCGATTAAATAGTTATGCATACGTGTATTAATTATATCGTCGATGTTTTAGCAAAACCGCCTATCTTACGGCACTCAAATTTTACAGGAGAACGAAAAAAGGGCTTTCTTTGAAAGTATTGCATTTGTTGCAGATTTTGCAAAAATATCGAAATAAGTGTCAAAGTGAAGGTTTGTGTTTGGCCTTGTTGTAGCAATGTTTCTTAAATCTCTAAACAAACTTTTAGGAAAAAATTGTGCTTATACTTAACTCGCTTAAGGCATCTAGTAGGTCAAGGTCAACATATAAGGAATCATAAATATTCTCACGTGGTCAAGAGACGATAAGGATCGCTCTGAATGATTTCGCAACGGAGTTGTTGTTTTTAACAGCATACAAATTTCACAAAGAGATCTTGGGGAATGATACTGAAGTCAGAGTTGTTTCCCTTTATTATTACGGCGTTTTAGGAATAAAACTCAAAATATAGTAAAACTTTACAATTCATAACTTTAATGAATGCGATGGGCACCTAGACGATTGCATCTAAGTGAACCCTCTCGTCTGGGCCGTAGATATGTACATATGAATCTGCGTCGTTCCGGTTATGTAGAACCGACTGCCGTGGGAACAAGGGCGTAATCTCTACTTCCGATTTTCCGGAATGAAAATTTTACGCGCTCTGCTCCACTCCTTACGAACATAAGATATGGACTTGCTGTACATAACTGATTTACTAGGGGTGTACCATCTACTCCCGTGGTTTTGTAGCGATCAAAGCCCATGTTACTGACAACCGGTCGCATGCTTACTGGAAGCGGAAGTGTGCAGAAAGCAGACCGATTGCCCACTCCATTATTGTTCTATGTATAGTTTTCTGGCTAGTGCTTTGAATATGACAAGGAATAAGTAAGTAATTAAAAAGTAATCATAGGCATGAAATAAGCACATGTTAACCAAAATGTTATATTAAGAAATTCAATACTTAAAAACTGTCTGTAGTTGGACAAACTCGGTTAGCCTGTTAAACTAGGCGTTATTAAGAAACTTTTGTTGGTATATACTGGCCAATAAACCAGTTTATGTTAAATTTGTATATGTATAGATACATGTGTCAGCAATTGCATGGACATCTTCAAAGGTTGTATTTATTGGTAGGTACATAATTTATGCGAATTGTTAAAGTTAAAAAGTTATTATTTTCTAATAGGAATGCCTGTAATTCGAATCGAGGAATATATACAGTGACCAAAATATAAATTAAGGCTCGACATTTTAGCAACGCTTTGCTATTTTTCTTTTGTTTATTTTATGAAAGTAAAGCTCTTTTCCTAACAAAAACCATATTTCCGATTTTGTGCAAAAAACTATAAAAAAAACTTTTTAATCAGAATCTTTAGAAAAAAAATTAAGTTTTTCAGTTCATTAAAACTGAATATAATAAAGTTTGCAAGTGCAGGGGCTGCTCACTTATTTTCATTTTACAAATATTGTCGAACATACTTTGTACGAAAAAATGCGTCCCACAGTCAACAGGAAATTCCAAAAAAATTAACGGTAAGTCTTAGCTACTTCAAACTTGCACTTTATTGTAATAAAATTTAGGGAATTTTTCGTAACTAATTTTGTGGGGTAAAATCTCGAGAAAAAATATCATATAAATTTGAGATGTTACATTAAGGATGCTGTTTCAGGTCTAATACATATAGGGTCATTGAAGAAGATTTTAAGATCTGTTAACTTCTGTGGAAAATATTAAAAAATTATTTTTGTCCCGTATTCGGCCTACATAATTATGGTCAACGTACCTCTAGCATTGCTGACTTTGCTCTTAATTTTTTGTATATGTATGCAACACTTCTGTGGGCATTTGGAAGAAAAATTTAAGTCTATTTTTCGCTGAAAAACAAAATAGCAAATGTCAGCAATGCTATTTTAAAGTCAAAGGAATACATTTTATTTAAATGAAAACATTCAATTATTGAAAATAGAGACATTTTAAACCGTTGCGAATAGCCATAAAATAGTTTAAAATTTTTTTCGGGTTGCAAAATTGCTTGGCGATAAAACATGCTATTTGATTGGTCCGTGCAAGATAGACTTAAGCTGTTCCACAGATACGTATGTAGATGTCATATAAGCTGATATTCTCTTACATACCCCCCCAGCATGCATCTCCCCTTGTTTCATAACTACTCACCGTTGCTTATCCAGCTCAGCTGCCTTCATATAGGGTGCTTTTTTGTCCTCTGTCATCTTTTGCCATTCCTCACCGATGATTTTTGTATGCTCAATCGCCGTTTTTAGGGGCAGTTCCTTGCGTAGCGACTCTCGGCGATCATTCATATAACGAACATAACCTAGCGAAAGAGAAATACTGTTAAATAACATGCTAATATATATGTAATTTCATAGTCATATGTGTTATCAAATGCAATTAGTAGTATTGATAAATGCAAACACAATTATGATGTCTACCAAATATATGTAGGTACATGCATATACTATATCTATGTACTATTATTTGCTATTTGATTGCTAAGCCAAACTTTTCTCGTAAGTATAGTACCTAAGCTGCAAGATTTAATTACAACACAACAACACCCTGTTATATATGAATTTGATCACATACCTGTTAAGGGCATTTTTGGCGCACCGGCCACTTTAATTTTACGCCGTTTCAAAAGAAATTGCTCATCCTCAGCTTTAGCTGCACCTACACTATTACGTTTACGGCTAACTTTTTGCGCAGTTGTTGGTGTATGCTGACCCACTGCATCTTCTCCATCCGATATTGATATAATGGGCATATCATGATCTATGCGTTTACATGAAGCGACAGTAACAGAGGATGTTAATTTAGCAGACGGCTGTTGTGTTTTCTCATCAACTTTTGAAAAACTTGCCGGTGCTGAAGACTTTGGTTGAATTTCTTCAATCTCGATATCCATATCTTTGACGTCAGTTGATCCAATGGTTGCAGTTTTTGACGTATTTTCTTTTTTTTTATCCGTTGTTGAAGCAGCAGCTGCAGAACTGTTAGCAGCGCTACTACCAGTCACGTTGCTATTGCCAATGTCCTCCGCCGACGACGCTGCTACTGTTAACACTTCGTTCATCTGTTTTTTGCTACCCTCTGCTGCCGATTCAACAATTTCCATGCCTTCTTTATGCATGTAATTAAGTTTAAAGAATCCGCACTATCAATGACGTTTTCTACTTTATCTATGCTTTTTTTGTTGCACAATTTAACTTTTATTTAACAACTGTATGACTGCTAATTCCGAACCACATAGGTAACGAACATTCTTGCACAAATTTTGCTCAACATATGAAAAAGCCGCTGCTTTGGGTATGTTCAGTTGGGCGTACACCGCTGTCAAAATGTTTGACGGGGCGTTTTTAAATGAAATGAAGCAGAGTTGTTAAAAATTGCTTCAGCTGGACGATGTAGCGAACAAAGGTAGCGTCGCCAGACGCACCGTTGCCCATTTTGACAGTTCCCAACTAAAAGTAAACAACGCCTCAGAAACTTTAAATGCCCTGAAATTCACTAATACTTCCACAAAAATTTAGCATTTTATTTATTCAATTCCAAGGGAATTTCAACCGCATTCTGTTTGAATTTCAAGTGACTTTGGTTGGTCGGAAGTGAATTCCAGAACCTGCCTAATTAATTCTTTTGGCGCAAAGTGACAGTTCCTTTGGAGAGAAGTTGCATATTCTTATTGAAAACATGTTTGCTAGCAAGAATTTGCAAGCACGAAAAACATGTGATGTGGTACATGGTTGCATTTTTGTCGACGATAATTTGAATAAGTTCGTTTAATTTAAAAATTTATAAACTTGAGCGATTTTCTAATGAAAAATGTAAGTAAATACTTGCTACCTAATTTAGTAATTTCCAAACATGACAAGTATTATTTATTCGTAATCGGAATGCAATCGCCACCAGATTTAGGAAACCGGACAGTACGACTAAGAAATTGAAACGTATGTAAGTGACAGTAACAAGAAATATACATGCATGCAGATCAGGTTTTTTGTCCTTCTGAAAGAATTTAAAAAAAATCCATGAAAATGTATTAAGTTTGAAATGCAACCGTGGACACCAGCTTATTCTCTACCAGGCAGTTTCTCTACTTGAGCGAGATTTTTTCCTGCTGAAATTTTGAGTGGTGAATAATTCTTGTTGCATTTTTGATGAACAAACCTAAAATAAGAAGTTTATATGGTATTTAAATAATTTGAAACATTTTGGCCAATAACTTTTGCGCTTACTAGATCTTTTATTTTTTATCTGCCCATTGCATATGCCCATATGTTCATGACTGCCCCATACCAAATTCATTCTACATTTGCCTCAATTCAGTTGTTCATATTTTAGTCTAGTTTTATATTACTATATTTTCTCATTTTGCAATAAGTAATTAACAAGTAGCATATTATATTTAAAACTTAAAATGTAATTCAGAATTCTTTTAAATTTAAATATAAATTTGTTTCACAAACAAAATTTAAAACTAAAATTGTGTCAAACGAAAAAGATAATAATTATGTTGTAAGTAGTTATACACACGTACTACATTAACGATTTATTCAAAGGTAAGTTCTGCCGTAATTGTAAATCAAAATTGTTTTAATCCATTCCAACCAATCATATTGTGCTCTGCCATTACAGATTGTAACAGATGAGTCGATATATGTATGCTTATCAAACCTGCCTAAGTCCGTATTTTTGAAACATGCGAGTTTATAAAATAACTAAAGGTAAAGTGAAATAATGCTACTGTGGATTTCTATTCTTCTTTCTTTCCTCGTAACGCTTTTTATAAAATAGGTTTTTATATAACTTAAAACTATTCCTAATATCTCGGACGTATTCCTTGTTAGTATAGCCTTCGCTTTTGATTGCTTCTGTTAAAAGAGATTCGCAAATAATTAAAATGTTTTACATCATATGACACAAGTATTACCAAATATGGCGCTATTCAGGAAAGTAAAGTCCTTGAAAGGGGCTTTGTTACTTACGCCGTCATAATTTAAAAGTTGGATTAATTTTCTGTCCACAAGACGATGAAAGTTTTTTTCTATACCCTCTGGAGAAACTATCGCTTTAATGCATTGGATCTGAAATAACATCTAAGTTATGC